CCACAGTACCAGTTTTGCAATCCGCTTTTTGATTTCCACTCTGAAAAGAGCCCATTTGTTCTTACTCTCTGTTTCCTGTCCAGTAATTCTCAATTCATGCCAATAATTTATCACCAACTCTGTGAGCATTGATTTTGCACAATAACATCTTATGTGGGACTTCTTCAAAAGCCATTGAAAAGCATTTATTTCCTTGCTCTCATTGTTTAACATGATCGACTGCTGGAAGGCCCTTCACCTGATTCACCTTCCCTGTTGCCAGCCTTCACGACATCAAGAGAGCAGCTTATACAACTCTACCATCCACCACTCTCTCTGCTGAGGGACTAGAACAGAGGTCACATCAGCTTGGGCTTAAGAGTGGCAAGTAACATTTGCACCATAAATATGTAAGGCAATGACTATCTCCAATAGGTGAGAACCCAACCACTGCTCCTTGGACCATCAATGACGTCAACATCACTGAAACCACTACTATCAATAATCAGGGGGTTACCATTGAGCAGATTGTGAACTAAACTAACCATGTACATACTGTGACTGCAAGAGCACCTCAAAGGTTAGGAATCCTTCAGCAAGTGATGTACTTGCTGATTCACCAAAGCCTGTCCACTAGCTAGAATGCACAAGTTAGGATTGTGATAGAAAATTCCCCACTTGCTTGAATGAGTGCAACTCCAATAACACTCAAGAAGCTTCAAACCACCCAGCAGCCCACTTAATTTGCATCTTATCCACAAAATTCACTCTACACTGATGCTCAGTAACAGTGTACCAGCTACAAATGCACTTTAGGAAATCATTGAAGATCCTTAGACATCTTCCAAACCCACAACCACAACAATTTAGAAGGACAAATGCAGCAGATAATTGGGAACACAACCATCTGCAATGTCCTCTCCAACAAAATCACCACACTGACTTGTGCTTTCTAGATGGTGGACAGGCTTTGGGGAGTCAGCAAATGCATTACTTGCTGCGGGAATTCCTGGCCTTTTAACTACTCTTTCAGTCACAGCATGTATATGGTTGTCTAGTTCAGATTCTGGTCAATGGTAATCCAATGGAATTACATCAATGTTTCTTCACTGTCTCTGGGTCAAAATCCTGGAATTCCTTTGTTAAGGGCATTGTGGGTGTACCTACAGCACATAGACTGCAGTGGTTCAAAAAGGCACCTCACCACCACCTCAACTGCAATTGGGGAAGGGCAATAAATGTGGTTGTTGACTTGCTCGCTGAGCTGGTAAGTTTGTTTGCAGACGATTCATCATCATACTAGGTAACATCATCAGTATGCCTCCAGTGAAGCGTCAGTGTTCTGTCCCGCTTGCTATTTATGTGTCTCAGCTTGCTGGGGTGGCTAGCATCACTAATGGATTTGTTTCTTACTGGTTCGCTATATGGGATCCAGCTCCACAAGTTTGTTAATGGAGTTCCTGTTTGAGTGCTGGGCCTCCAGGAATTCTCGTATGTGTCTTTGCTTGGCTTGTCCTGGATGGCTATGTTGTCGTGGTCGAATTGGTGTTCCTCTTTGTCCATGTATATTGAAATGAGTGATAGTTGGTGTTCATGAATCCTGATGGCTAGTTTCCTTCTGGTTTGCCGTATGTAATGCTTTTAGCAGTCTTTGCATGGTATCTGGTAAATAATGTTGGTTCTGTTAGTTTTGGTTATCAGATCCTTTATTCTCGTCAGCAGATGTCGGAGTGTAGCTGTCGGTTTGTGGGCTACCATGATTCCGAGGGAGTGGCGTAATCTGACAGTCATTTCAGATATGTCCTTAATGTATGGTAGGATGACTAGTGTATCTGGACATGTTGTGTCTTCCTGTTGTGTTCTGTTGCATAGGTATCGGCGGACTACACTTTTTGGGTAGTCATTGTTTCAAAAGACACTGTATAGGTATTCTTCCTCGGCTTTGCATAGCTCCAGGATGCTGCAGTGTGTTTCGGCTTGCTTGAACAGTGTTTACATGCAGCTCCGTTTGTGGGAATTGGGATGATTGCTATTGCAGTTGAGTACCTGATCCATATGGGTGGCCTTCCTGCATATGCTGACCTGGAGCTCATCGTTGGCCTTGTGTTCAACCAAAGTGGCCAGGAAGGGAAGTTTGTTGTTGTTCTCCTCTTCCCTGGTGAATGTTATGCTGGTGAGGATGTTGTTTCTGAGTAGGTGGGTTTCCTCCAGTTTAGAGTGTTTGATAATGACAAAGGTATCATTCACATAGCAGATTCATAGTTTTGGTTGGATGGCGGGAAGTGCTGTCCGTTCCAGTCTTTGCATTATGGCTTCGCTATTAATCCTGATATCGGTGATCCCATGGGTGTTCCACTGATCTGTCTGTATACCTTGCCGTTGAAGGTGAAGTGGGTTGTGAGGCACAGATCCAGTAGTTTGTGGAGTAATTAGTTGTTCACAAACTATTGGATCTGTGCCTCACAACCCACTTCACCTTCAATGGCAAGGTATACAGATAAATCAATGGAACACCCATGGGATCACTGATATTAGGGCAAATAGTGGAAGCTGTAATGCAAAGATTGGAACGGACAGCCCTTTCCACCATCCAACCAAAACTATGGATCCGCTATGTGGATGACACCTTTGTCATCATTAGACTCCCTAAACTGGAGGAAACTCACCTACTCATAAACTACATCCTCACCGGTATAAAATTCACCAGGGAAGTGGAGAACAACAACAGACTTCCCTTCCTTGATGTAATGGTTGAACGTAAGGCCAACAGTGAGCTCTAGACCAGCGTACACAGGAAGGTCACCCATATGGACCAGGTACTCAACTACAATAGCAATCATCTCAATACCCACAAACAGAACTGCATCAAAACTCTGTCGAAGTGAGCTGCAGCACCCTGGAGCTATGCAAAGCCGAGGAAGAATACCTATTCAGTGTCTTTAGAAACAACTGTTATCTGAAAAGCGTAGTCCGCTGATATGTACACAACAGGAAAACACAACACGTCCAGAGGCACTAGTCACCCTACCATACATTAAGGATATATCTGCAATGACCATCAGATTACTCCACTCCCTCGGAATCATGGTAGCCCACAAACCAACAGCTACACTATGACAGCTACTGACGAGAATAAAGGATCCAACAACCAAAACTAACAGAACCAACATTATTTACCAGATACCATGCAAAGACTGCCAAAAACATTACATTGGGAAAACCGGAAGGAAACTAGCTACCAGGATTCACGAACACCAATTAGCTATCAAGAGACATGACCAACGATCACTCATTTCAATATACATGGACAAAGAGGGACACCAATTTGACTGGGACAACTAGCCATCCAGGACAAGCCAAGCAAAGCACGAGAATTCCTGGAGGCCTGGCACTCAAACAGGAACTCATTAACAAACATGTAGAGCTGGACCCCATGCACCAACCGCTAAGAAACAAATCCAGCAGTGATGCCACCCACCTCAGCAAACCAAGACACATAAATAGCAAGCAGGACAGAACACTGACACTTCACCGGAGGCAGGCTGATAATGTTATCTTGTATGGTGACGAAACGTTTGCGAACAGACTTACCAGCTCGGCGAGCAAGTCAACAACCCAAGCTACAAATCTCAAAAATCTTGAAAGGGCGATAAATGCTGACCAGCCAGTGACATCCATGTTCTACGAGTGAATTTGAAAAAACCCACTTGCAACAGTTTTGCTTTGAAGATTATGTCCCCATGCCCTTTAATTCCCCCAACCACTGTCTTCCTATGCCTATGGGTGTCCTTTAGCATTCCAAATATCTTGACCAGAACTCCTCACTGCTAACTCTTTTCTAGTTCCTTCTCTCTTTGACTTTGGACACCCCCCTGAAGCACTCACCTAAATGACTTTTTTCAAAGCCCTTGCCTTGTGCTAGGGACATAGTTTTCAGTGTTTGACCCCATAAACCCTCTCCTCATTCACCCTGCCTTCTCCAATTCAAACTTCCATGGGATCCCATTGTAACTAATCCTCCCCATTGGTCACCTATCATGTCAATACACCTGCTGCCTTGCCTTTTTACCCCAATTAGAAAATGACCCTGCTTCTTCCTTCCCAGTTTGGAAGATGCCAGACCTCCCCCATCAGGAATCCGCAAACTCCTGGATGGTTGGTAACTCTTGTAACTGACACACATACGTCTCTACATCCACACTGTGTGGAATTTCTACATTCTCCCCGTGTATGTGTGGGTTTCCTCTGAGTGCTCCAGTTTCCTCCCACAGTCCAAAGAAATGCAAGTTAGGCGGACTGGCCATGCTAAATTGCCCGTCCTGTATAGAGATGTGGAGGTTAGGTGGATTAGCCAATCGGAAATGCAGTGTTACAGTGATACAGTTGGTGAGGGGGTAGTGTGGGATGCACTTTGGAAGGTCATTGTAGACTTCATGGGCCGAATGGCCTGGTTCCACACTGCAGGGATTCTGTCCAAAGCAATGATCCACATACGTAAACACACAAGAAGCAACACAGCTTTTTTTATTTCAAACTTTTTTTTATTGAAAAAGTATCAGAATAAGAAACTGACAGTCATACGCCAATAGTTCAGGAGGGTGGGGACAGGGTGCTTATTAGCAGGAAGACAAAGAGCCCTGCACCAGTAATGGACAGACACTGAGAGACCGCAAGTCCACACCAATGGGCAAACACAAGACATAAATACATTCAGATGCTCCAGTAATGGCCCTGGGTGCCTCTCACCTTTTCATTCCCACTTCCAACAGCCGTGACTTACCAAGGAGTGTAGCAGATTTTATTTTTTAATTTTTTGTTTGCATAGTTAGTCCCAGTGCAATAGTCCACAGTGTCAGCAGTAAGACATGTCAGAGGGCCCTCGCTAATCAGGTGACATTTAAATACAGTCTAACATCCCGAGTCAGAACTGAGCCAGCAGCAGTGGGACTTTGTACGGCTCACTCCTCTGGCCTTTAGGGATTCCAGACTGTCGTTGCGAAATCCCCAAAGTCTTCTGTTTCCTTCCACAGGTCCTGTAAGTTCATTAATTTTATGAAGTCACTTGCCAATCCCTACTGGAAGTGCAAACACCTTTACTGGAGTACGATTGACAGGGGCCATAAGTCCTTTGACATTCTCCACAAGTGAGCCTAGACTAGTGACTGACTACTCCACTACAGTAAGCATTGTATAGTCAAGATTGCCCACTCAATCCTGTCCTTTTCTAACACACTCACATGTGTGCTCCCAGCTAGGGCAAAGGTAGGGTCACTTGATAATCATCAGAAAACCTGGTCCATGGAGATTTCATCCCTGTTGGCAGTGAGCTAATTGCAACACCACTTGCTGGCTGCAATCAAACTGGGTGAATGGACTGTTCCTGCGCTGTCAATTCTAGGTCCTTCTTGGCTAATGTATCAGTTGCATTTCACTCCTAGCTATTCAAAGTATGACTGGCACATCAATGCCAGCCCTCCCCCACTCCACATCAGTTGGTATTTATCCACTAACAGGCCAGAAGCAAGTGCAGAGACAGGCAACTGTTTAATTTGAGGCTCATTCACAATCAGCCAGCTCAAGGAGCCTGGTAACCATATTCACAGTACATCTCCCTTATGACTATTGGGTAACATTCTCATTTCTGAATCATAAGAACACACAAATTAGGAGCAGTAGACCACTGTATCTCTACAGCCTGCTCTGTCATTTAACAAGATTATGGCTGATCTGGTTGCTTTCCAAATTCATCATTCCCATCTTCCCCAATAACGATGGATTTTTCTGCTAATAAAGAGTCTATATACCTCCATCTTAAAAATATTCAATGATCCCACTTCTACTTCTTTCTGAGGCAGCTAGTTCCAAAGTTACACAACCCTCAGAAAACAGTTCTCATCTCCATCCAAAACAGATGGTCTCTGAATTTGAACAACATCCCCATACTTCTGGACTGACCCACAACAGGAAATATCCTTTCCACACTCACCCTGTCAAGAAGATTCAGAATCTTATATGTTTCAATCAAGTCACCCCTTGCACTTCTAAACTGCACTGTAAACAAGTCAGTCTGTCCAAATATCCTCATTAGACAACCTGCTCATCCCAGTATTAATCTAACGAACCTCCTCTGAACCACTTCCAAAGCATTTATGTCCTTTCTTGAATAAGGAAACAAGGTTGCATATGGCCAGACTATCAGTGACTATGGGGTGGTCAAACCCCACTTCAGAGGTTTGGGCACTAAATTCAGGCTGATAGTCACAGTGCAGCACTGAAAAAGTGAAACAGTATTGCAGGTACTGTCTTCTTGATGTTAAAATAAACTAAGGTCCTGAGATAGATGTGAAAGATCCCAGAGCGCCACCTAAAGAAATGCTGGGAAGTTCTGCGGCAGAACAATCTTTATTCCTCATTCCACACATTTAAATAGCTTATCTGGTAATTACACTGGGCTCTTTGACATTGGGAAATGTGCCATCAAAATGCAAACCTTTCTCTCTCTCGCTCAACACTAAGCAAATCTCATGAGTTAGGCGCACAGCAAAAGCTTCATTCTGATTGCACCCAAAGCAATATTCCATTGCTTACGTCCAGCACCTGATGTGGCCCCATGATGTAATGTCCAGTTTATGTGAAAGCCAGCACTTCTGACATAGTCACAGACTTCAGCACCGGACTGCAGGATTAGGTACTAAACACTTGCGGACTGCTAATTGAACTTCCTTCTCACAATTTAAACAGCAGCTGACATGCGAAGACAGAAGGATTGGTATTCTTGAAGTACCAAAGAAAAGAGCCTTCTGCATCTAAAACTGTTCTTTGAAGTACACAACTTGCAACTCTTTCCTAAGTTCCAGAGGCTGAGACAATCTCCCCATCAATCAAGAGCACTGTCAAATTCACCTCCCCAAGCGGAATGGACAGTGTGCAATCCCACTGCAGCTTGTCAAAACGACAATTCCAGCCACATTTCTCCAAATGTGGTCTAGTCATCATACCTGAATGTTGAATTTATCACTTGCCCAATGTCAGCAAAGTCTGATGATCATTTTTAATCCCCTTGCACCTACAATGGAGTACTTTCTCCTTTGATCCAAAGTCACTGACAGCAAGTGTCCTATATCGCTGGGTATTCACAGTAATGAGCACAAGAATAAGTTCAGTGCTAAATCCCCACCCAGAAGGCATTGGTGTCTGGTTGGCTTCCAAGTTCTGGAAGGTTTCATCACATGATCTTAATGGCTCTGCCCCCACTCAAAGTCATTGCTTACCAACATGCCCATTCTCACTGAATCCCATATGCTGTCAAATAAACAGGCCCTTTGGTTAAAAATAAATGTAACATCCTTTAATCTTTCTCCACCGCCGATTGACACTAAGCTCCTGGATTCTCCAGGACAATCCTGAAGAGATAACAATCCTCACCAACGAAGTGAGAGTGGTAGCCACTGATACATTTCCACTTGGTTGTCAACTGGTTCCCTTGTACAAGAATTCCCTGGCCCCTCTGGGAATTAGATATTGTTCTCTCATTACTGCTGCAAACAAACTCTGGATAAATCTATAATGATGTTAAAAAAAATCATGAACTAAAACTGAGGTGGCTTTTAAAACTGATCATAGATCACAACTATTTCAAGGAGAATGGAGGAGTCTGACTCCAATTTGGCAGAAGGCACTGTGTAGAAATTGCCCCCGCTGCAGAGTTTCCATGTCTTGCTGAAGCCTTTATTCAGACAGATCAGCTGCTCTTCTGCATTTCACAGCCTTGTCACCCCAGCTTGGTGAAGATAATAGTAACAGTCTCTGGCAAGCCCAGGAACTCAGCAAAAGAACTCCAGGATACTCGCAGACACTTTGCCATAGAAAATGTTCAAAACAGAATTACTTAAACTCGCTGCAAAGTTTTGGTCTTTTAACTAATACAAATGCAAAGTCCAGCTTACTTGCAGCTTGTACCTGTCCATTCATTGCCCAAATTTGGGATCCTAGCATCGCATCAGATGCTTGGCCTACATGACTTCAGGTGAGTGCCAAATCAATATCTTCCAGCACACACAAGGGACAGACCTGTCACACTTGTGCCCACTGTATTGCGCAGGAAGTGTGTGAGTATCATAAGATGCACGTGAGCAACAGTGAAAGGTCTCCAAACAGGTTGCTGCATAGGTGAGGTGGTGCAAAGCCATAGGATATTTGGCAAAAATCTCCAGGAAGGTGACCAGGGTTTGGTCCTCTCTCCCCTGCCTTCTCAATGGGTCATTGATAGTGAGTCTTGCTTCGGTACAGGCCAAAAGCCAGAAATGCATCTTGGTTCCTTTGATAATGCAAGATCAGGAGTGTTGGAGACAGCTGATGGTTGTGGAAGCTTGATGATAGCCAAGCCTGATCACGAGCCCAAACCCCGACACCCACACCACTCACAGGGTTGCCGACTGTGGTCCCTCCTACCATTGGCCACCCAACCTCGTCCCAATGTCGCACCTGCCTACACCAATTACAAGGAGAACGCTCATCATTTGTCAAATGGCCATCCTTTTTAAAAACTGAAAGAACTGCGGATGTTGTAAATCAGGAACAAAAACAGAGGAAGCGTCACAGGACCTGAAATGTTAACTCTGATTTTTTCTTCACAGATGTTGCCAGGCCTGCTGAGCTTTTCCAGCAACTTCCATTTTTGTGGCCATTCCTTTTATCTTATTTCCAATTTTTTTTCAAATCAGTGGTAAACAAAGGAAAAGTTTTACAAAGTGCAATTTTTGTAATTGCCTCCATTTTACCACTAGGATTTTAATTTTTTTTCATGGAACATGGGTGTCATGGCAAGGCCAGCATTGGGTTACCTGTTCCTAATTTTTAAAACTTCATCCATGGGATGATGGCATTGCTAGCATTAATTGCCCATCGGGCAGTTAACAGTCAACCACATTGCAATGGGTCTGGAATCACATGTAGGCCAGAACAGGTAAGGATGGCAGTTTCCTTCCCGAAGGGACATTAGTGAACCAGCTGGATTTTCCCCCAACAATTGGTGATGGATTCATGGTCATCAGTAAATTCTTAATTCTAGATTTTTACTAAAATCAAAATCAACCATCTGCTGTGGCAGGGTTTGAATCCAGGTCTGCAGGACATTACCTGGATCTCTGGATTAAGAGTCAAGTGATAATGCCACAAGGCCATCACATTCCCATAAATTGCCTTTGAACACAGTGGCTTACTAGGACAATCTGAGGGCAGCAAAGAATCAACCATGTTACTGTTGGGGCTGGAGTCACATGTAAGCCAGACCAAGCAAGGACAGCAGATTTCTTGCCCTAAAAGATATTAGTGAACTAAATGGGTCTTTACATCAATCGATGATAATTTAATGATCGCTGTTATGGAGAATAGCTTTGAACTCCATATTTTATTAATTGAATTCCAATGCCACCGTCTGCCATTGTGGGATTTGCACTCATGTCCGCAGAGCTTGAGCCTGGGCCTCTGAATTACGAGGCCACAGTTCACTTGCAGTACCCTTTAGGGGATTAACCTATAATTCCTGAGGCCACCAGGATAATCCTGGAGGGCTGAGAACCGAAAGTGAGGCAGCAGCCAGGAATGGAAGCTCAGCTGACTGTTTTTCCCACCTCTTATTAAGGATGTGCTCAGTATCTGTAACATAAATGACTGTTTGGCTGCTCTGATTAAAAAGGAGAGCATACTCTATATGCTCACCCAATGTCACGTAGACGCCAACGGGTTTGCAGTGCCTCTCTGTCAACTTCTGTTCAGCCTTGGATTTTTTCCCCTGGAACAGAAGAGCAGAACACAGCCATTCGGCCCCTCAAACCAGTTCTGTTGCCATTCAGTTAGATCATCTGGGCAACTCTAGTTACCCACCTTAATTCTGTTGCCTTGTCCAGCTAAAATTTGATTTATTTCAGTTTTAAAATTTTCAATTAACCCATCGCAATACCTTTCTTAGGGCAAGAGTTTTAGAATCCCTACTACTCTTTGCATGATAAAAACAACAGCAGATGAGAGAACCTTACCACACAGGAGGTAATTCAGTCCATAATGTCTGTGACAGCAATTAAAACAAATTAGTTCCACTTCCTTTGCTTTAACCCCAGAGCCCTGGACTATTTTTCCTTTTCAAGTATATGTCCAGTTCTAATCCAAGTATAGATCTTACTCAGGTATTGAAGAGATACAAATTGAACCATTCAGTCAATGTGTTGAGAGATTACCACAAACTTTAGAACAAGGAGACACAGAGATAGGAACAGAAGAGGGTTGGGTCACAGGCAATATAGATTTAACTACTTTACACAGATAGGAGATAGTGTGGAAAGATCTAAACAAAGATCTGAGGAGGTTTTAGAGCCACTTGGTGTTTGAGATGAACCTCTCGTTCATTCCTGTGCTGAAATGCTGATTAGAGGCAGCTTGGATGGCAGAAATCTTGTGCAGTGCCTCGTAGTAGGGTGGCATGATAACCGTCTCTTGTGGTACTGTGACCCGATCAGTACTGCCCCTACTGAGCTTGGTGAACTGGCACCATGTGAAATTAGCGTACTCTGAATACGGGCATCACCAAGGTGGATGGAGGAACTTCACAGGAGTGTGAGAACTGCCAACTTACCTGATCCCCAACATCGTCCTTTACCGGAGGATAAAGGAAGGAACACTATTCAAAATGGCTGTCTCTAACCAACTGCTCTAAATGGTGATGGGGGGATAACTAAGACAACCCAGTGCTTCTCCCCGTATATCAGTACATTATACATTATGGACACTTCCTACAGTACTTAGTATCAAGCTGCCTAGCATGATACACATTTCCACTTAAAAGATGAATACAGCTCTATATTGGGCTGTGTATTTGATCTGAATGTGTGTTGTTAATTTGGCTCCGTTGAGATTATGCACATTTGACCAAAACTCTCTCCTCCTCTAAATGCAGAGTGTACCCACAAATCGCAGGTTTGGAAATGGGTTTCCCCTTGCTGCCTCCTTTCTCTCCACCCCCCCACCCTCAACAACTTTGCCCACATTCATCTATTACTGAAAACAAATAAAATGTTAGAGTTGTTGGTGAGCTGAACAAGGAAAGGTCTCTCAATCTCTTGGTGCTTCTTGTGAGTTGGAGTGAGTAGTTGGCCCCTGCAGATAGGGAGCGAGCGCTGCCAGTCAGCGTCGTGTGGGGAATGCTACAAAGCCTGCTGTTGGCCAACCTCGCTGGGTCCTGAAGGCTCCAACAACAACTCATATCTGTGTAGTGTCTTTCACTGAAAGAAAACCTGCTCGAGGAGTCTTGTCAGATATAATTTGAACTGAGCTGCAAAAAAAAGTGTAATAGGACAGAATTGCTAAACTTTAGTCAAAGAGGTAGGTTCTACGGAGGGTCTCAAAGGAAGAGGCGGCGGTGGAGAGAGATTTGGTGGGGGGGGGGGACTTCATAAACTTAGAGACCGAGCAGCTGATAGTGCAGCTAATGAAGAGGGAGGCGGGGAGAGAGGAGGTGGGGCGGAGGTTTCAGAATTGGGAGGACTGCCGAGATCATGGTGGGTTGGAGAGTCTAGAGGAGGCGGGTAAAATACAGAGGCAGAGGCAGAGGAGAGGGCAGGGCAACGGACTGACTTGAACGAGAGGATGAAGTTGGAGGGAAGGGGACAGGGTCACAAAGATGTTTCGAGGCAGGAGTTCCTCCGGATGTAGTACCTGCGGCCGTCCGCCTCAAGGCCCTGGCACGGCCGGTGGACGATCAGCACCGGAAAGAAGCGGGCGTCGTGGTAGTTGGGCGGGTTCTCGCTGACCGCCAGCTGGCTGGAGTACGAGCGGCAGTGGTCGTCGCGGCAGCGGTCGTTGACATTGCTGCTGTGGCTGTGCCACAGGCCGGTCCGCCGGGAGCCGTGCAGGCGGCACAGCGAGAAGCGGCTGGTGTCCAGCGAGAAGCGCGACTGGCTGCGGCACACGTTGCGGGAGAAGATGGAGGAGCTGCTGGAGCGGCCGTCGCAGTCGGCGGCGCGCACGACGCCGCAGGCCGAGTAGCCATTGCAGATGGGCAGTGAGGCGAGGTCCATCAGCACGGCCTCCGAGTAGCTTGGGATGAGCTGCCGGTTGCTGCGGATGTGCCACTCGAGCTCGGTGCTGTCCACCGTGCCCAGCCGGGTGGGGGGCTGTGGCACCGTCGGCGAGTACTGGCCGCCCTCCTCGGTCGGCGTCGCGGCGCTGTAGTCCAGGCCGAAGAGCTTCTCCACGTGGTAGTGGACGTAGGCCGTCCGGTACTCGACCAGGACCCGGAGGGGCCACGACAGCATGAGCAGGCCGGCCGCCCAGAAGGCGTACGGCGAGATGTACCAGGGCAGGCGGTCGGGGTCGACGTACACCATCATGGAGTCCTTGAAGTCGACGTTCCTGAGCTGCATGCCCTCGCGGGCCTCCATGTAGTCGTCGAGGCCCTCGATCTCGCCGAAGAAGGTCGCCCGCTGGTTCAGGTAGCTGTTCTCCGACTCGGTATTGGCGAAGCTGAAGCACTTGGTGAAGCGCAGGCGGGTGGCCGGGTGCCGCTCGAGGCCCAGCAGCTCCTTGGAGACGTCGCGCACGCCGCAGCGCGCGTACTCGAACTCCGCCTCGGCCACGTGCGTGTTCACGCGCTCGTGGTACACCTGCGTGCTGGTGTAGGCGTCCCCGTGGCGGTAGCGCGTGACCTGGCGCGTGCGCCGCACCAGGTGGTAGCTAACCGCCTTCCACCAGATGCAGGGCGCCGCCCGCCGCATGCGGCCGATTCGCTCGTACACGCTGTCGACGTCCGCCTTGTGCTGCAGCTCGCTCCGGGCGCGGCAGTGCCAGCACTCGACCAGGTACACCGCGTACAGCATCGCCAGGAAGGCCAGCGGGATGTAGACGTAGCCGTCGGAGCACGGGCTGTCGTGGTAGATCATGGACTTGCCCTTCAGGGAGCTGTCGAAGCGCAGCTTGGTCACCCGCGTGAGCTGACACCAGGCCACGGCCCCCAGGCAGCCGTACATCAGGAGGGAGAGGATCAGGCACTTCCAGTGCGACTCCCGACAAACCGAGGTGCTCAGTGACTGCTTCGCCGGCCTCTGCTGCTTGTCGTCCCCGACCCCGTCCCCGGCGGCAGCGGAAGGAAACAAAACAAAAGTGCGGCGTTACTAATGTCGACGGCAACCGTAGTCTCTTGAGTTCACATTGCGAGGAAAAACGGAATGAGAAAACGGAGCGGAATCGTAGGGTCCCCACCAACCCTCCAAAGAGCATCCCCACCCAGACCCAGCCCCCTACCCTAACTTTCATCTCACTCTGTTCAGCCCTTGTAGGATGCTCCCTATTCTGAATTCCACGTCGTTTAACATACCCACCTCCCTACAGCGCAGACCATGTGAAAAACTCCATCTACTACGCTTTCCCACCTGAACAGGGAATCGCAGAGTTGTTACCATGCAGGAGAAGCCGTGCATTCCATCTCGTCTGCATTTTGGTTGCGTGAACGCCCACATATAAACCCAAGTCTCTTCTACTCCTGCGCACCCCTTTGGAATTATTCCTTTAAATTTATAGTCTTCTTCATTCTAAATGTATTGCCATATACGTCTCCACAATTAACCTCATTGCCACCTGTATGCCCACCCTACCAACTTACCAGTGTCTTTTTGAAGGTTACACTGCTATCGTCACAGTTTACAATTCACCCAAGTTTTGTATCAGCAGCAAATTTTGAAATTCTCGCCTGCACACCAAGATGTAGATCATTTAAACATATTATTGAAAAGTGTCCCGATGCTGACCTCTTTACAAACTCCACTAGAAACTTATAAAAGCAAAACACTGCGGATGCTAGCAGCGTCTGTGGAGAGAAACAGAGCCAACGTTTCCAGCTCAATTTGATTCTTCTTCATTCTGAAACTGACTTAAAACATTAATTTGTTTCTTTTTCCACAGATGTTACCTTTTGAGGTTCTCTGTATTTTCTGTTTGTTCCACTACAAACCACCTCCTAGTCCAAAAAACCCATTAATCATTACGTACTGTTTCCTATCCCTCAGTCAACTTTGTATCCATGTTGCTACTGTCCCTTTTATTCTGTGACTTATAACGTTCCTCATAAATCTGTGTGGCCCTGTATCGAATGCCTGTGGACCATGTATCAACATCATCAGCCCTCTCTGTTACCTTTCCAAAACCTTCCAGCAAGTTAGTTAGACACAATTTTTACTTAAATCCATGCTGACTCTTCTGCATTAACCAACATTTCCTACAAATGGCCCACATCAAATTCACTTTCTCCTAGACTGGACCTTTGGTTTGATTCCATATATAATCCTACAGTCGTCTCCCACAAGCCACGTATAATCTGCCAGTCATGGAATTTTACTTCATTCAATCTTCTTGCATAGACTTATGCCTAATCAATGAAGAATTTTGCCTCTAAGGAGTAATTTCCTGAGTTTTCTCTGTTACCTTTGCCTGATGCCATAGTGAACTGAGTGCTTCCCACTCCATTAAAATGGCCAAATTGTCCCTGCCATGGAAGACTGTGCAAGTGGATTGCAAATGTATGCTGTTGGTGCACAAGTCCTATCGCTGACAATAAATGCTGGGCAATTGGGTTCACAAAGTTAGAGCCCTGTCTATCTCATGTAGGTTTTCTTTTCTGTCTGAATTATTGTGTTGTAATGTGATGAACTACAAATAACAGCAACTTGGCATGTATATAGCTGCTTTAACAAAGCATAATGTTTAAAGGCCTCTTATAAGAGTAGTATAAACTGAAAGTTGGCACTGAGCCACAGAAGAAGGCATCATGGAAGTTGACCAAAAACTTGCTGCAGGATATATATTTTAAGGAGCATCTTAAAAGAGGAACAGAGATAGAAAGTCTTTGAGGCAGAAGATATTTGAAATTAAGGCTTAGGCAGCCGAAGACATGACCATCAATGATGCAGCAACTGAAGAATGTTCAGTATCTGGGAATTAGGAATGATTGACTCATGAGAGAATTGGGAAGGAGTAGTAGTAACAACAATAATAATATCCAGAGGGTGGATTTTTGAAAGTAGTGGTCGGCACCAACCTCTGGTCTTCAAACATGTAATTGGGATGAAGCCCTGCTATGCCTCCCAGCTCACATTCAGGTTAAGTGCATTTGAAAATCACAGCTCATTGATTTCAGCCTCTTCAGGGACTGCCTGTCAGGCCACATGCAGACCTGCTTTGCCGAGTACGTCAGGGCAAACCAGACTTGCACTTGCTGGAGAGAATCTAAATCAGGCCTAGAACACTTCCTCTTATTGATTCTTATGTCTCAGGCATGGGTGCCAATCGTTTTTCCAACATTTACCAGTTTGACAGGCAGCAGCGAACGGGCACATGCTTCCTATCCACCCTATTGGATATTTTTTAATCAACCCATGCAGAGATGTTATTTGAAGACCTTTGAAGTAGGTGGGACTTCAATCCGGGCCTCCTGCTCCAGAGTAGGGATACTGCCACTGTAGCACAACAGGCATCTCCACTTTTTGGGGGCCATCCACTGTCCAAAGATTTGACCTTGCGCGGCTTACAGTACTGGGCTTTTATCTCTGTGTGATGGTGCAGTTGCTGAAATCTTCCACTAGATGCTCCCTACTTGGTTCTGATCAGGTTTTTGGACTGCTTTTCAGAACCCACGTCAGACAGAAATTCTGAACTTTCCAAGGTAAATCACGCAGTTATCTTGGCCTATTGAGGCATGCCTATTCTTATTCTGTCTATTGTGCTGTCCCAGCTCTAACAGCTGAAATTCTTTATGAAAAATGTTGAGCCTTCCATAAGTAAATGTGTGCGGTGAATTATTGGAGTGTTTAATGTTTGTGGACAGACATTTAGTTGTCGTTATTAATATCCTGCTTTTAAGAAAGAGTTCATAAGTGTATGAGTGCAATGGAGATCTATGTACTGCAGATGTTTACACACTCTTATAGGGAACTTCCTCATTCTATTGCTTTACGTATGAATGATTTTCAGCGTGTTTTGCCCCCTTTTAGGTTTTGGCAATCCGGCTTGCTTTGAACATAAATATTAATGTACATCTTCTCCACACTTTTTTATTTCCAGTGAAGGTCAAGGAAATGAGAATCAGGGCAGAGGTGCCCTGAACAGGCTGCTGATCCATTATGAACTGCTTTCTACTATCAAACAAAGTCAAAATAAGAAATATGGAAACACAGCAATAAGATTGTATTATTTAGCCATTTGAACCCATTCCACCATACAGTTAGATCTGATCTGTAAGTCACTTCTATTTACCTGCCTTTATTTGATGTATGGTCAATCACTTTGTTAAGGTTTGCAAATGGTTTGCATCTGGACTACAGTGACCACTACTGTACATCTATGGAAGGATGTTCATGTATTGGAAGCAGTTCAGAGAAGGCTTACTTGACTAATACCTGGAGTGAATGGATTGCCTTATGAGGAAAGGTTAGACTTCTATCTTGTGGCATTTAGAAGAATCAGAGGTGACTTAATTGAAATGTAAAAGACCCTGAGGGGCCTTGACCATGTGCGTGCCGAAAGGACATTTCCTCTTCTGTAAGGATCTAAAACTAGTGGTCATAGTTTACAAATGTATGGTTGCCCAATTAAGAGAGATGAGGAAACTTTTTTTTTCTTTAAGGGGGTTGAGTGCCTTTGGATTCTCATCCTCAAAAGGTAGTGGATGCAGAATCTTTTGGGGGGATATTGGTAGAGAGCTTCAAAACTCAGAAAAAAAAAAAAAATTCTCTCCACAAAGAAATTGTGTGTGTCTTGGTTTCTAATTCACCAGGCAGCTTGGATTTGACTAACATTTTACACCATATTCTTTTATATTCTCCATGGAATTTGAGTTTTGAAAACTCCATTACACTGCCAGCATCCACAGTTTTCTGTAGGAACATATTCCTGATTTCCAGCATCTGCTGTGTGAAAAGGTAGTTCCTGATTTTACTCTTGGCTTAATTTTTAACTCTGAGCCCCTTGGATCCTGTCAATGCTCATATCAAACAGGTTTCTCCATATCCTCCCTATTGCATCCTGCAAACATTCTGAAGATTTCCAATGGTTCTAAGTACAAGTGATGACTTCTCTCTACACATTACAATTGCATATAGTTTAGAAGATTTTTTTTGGCTTATAAATTGTAACTTTTAATGTAAGCCAGCTGAGGGGAATAAAGACCTGGACTGAGAGATTTATCACACAGCCAGGAGTTGCAGGTCAAAGATAGAGTCCAGTTGTGTTTCTGTGATGGTAGAGATATGAACACCCAGGATTATAATAGCCTCTCTAAATCTCTTGATCGGAAGGTATCTCCGGAGAGATTTTGAAGTCAAGGTGTAAACAAGGTTTAAAATATTTGTGTAGTTTCCCAAAATAAAAAGAAGCCCTGAAGTGGCAAGGAAATGTTTTTAATTATCCATATATTTTTCAGACAAAAGAAAAAGTTTCAAGTTAAAGATAATTGATGATCATTTGTATTTGAAAACAAATCCTGTATCTCACGGAGATGGGTTGAGAGGTAAAGATTCCTTTGTTTTAATATATCTTTGCCATTTGCAGTGTGTGGAGTGGCCAGCTTGCAAGCAGTTTGTATCTGAAACTGGGGAAGTAGCAACAGAAATCAAGGGATATTTATGTGGAACACTGCTAAGGAACAGAACCCATGTTCATGAAGAATTAAAGACTGTAAGATCTGTCCAATAGAGCTTTGTGAAGATACCAAAGACGACAAGCAAACTGACTATAGCATCATGGAAAATGGAGCCATTCAGGAAGGGGATAAAAGAGAAATGTAGTTGTGATCAGGGATAGTATAGTCGGGGAACAGACACTGCAAAGGCTGTGTTGCCTGCCTGGTGCCCTAGTAAAGGATATTCTTATCTGGGCTGCAGAGGAAATTGGTGTGAAAGGGGAATGATCTCGTTTTGGTCCACGTAGGTACCAATGATATAGGTAGAAAGAGGTTCTGCTGAGGGAATATGAGCAGCCGGGGCTAAATTACAAAGCAGAACTAAAAAAGTAATAAATTTCACAATACTACCTGAGCCTCGAGCTAATTGGCAAAGGG